AGTTTTTAGTACATAGAAAAAGATAAAAGGTTGAATAAATAAATACATAATACTTTTCTATGAAAAAAGAAGGACCAGAAGCATGAGGGACGATTAAAACAAGAGATACATGATATGACCAATAAAAGGACAAAGAAGTATAGATACAGAAATTGTAAAGCAAGAAATAACCAAATCCAGGTTTTAAGAAAGAAGCTTTGGCAGCATAAAATTAGATGCAAAAACCTATAGGTTATGCCAAATATATAGAAAAACTTATCAAAATTAAGAATGAATGCCAAAATATGTAACCTCTTTTAACCCTGCACTTCAAGAAGGAAGAGATGTAAATGCAGCTTGCATAAACTTGAAAATGGTAGTTAAAAGAGGATTTTTCCCTTCGTTTGATTGAAAGAAAGGATCTAAGATTTGAGAATTATAGTCTTTTGCAAATTTTGCCTACATTTGTTAAGTTGACATTTGACAAAAGTTTCTGGTACTTGCAATGTTTACCAATTTAGACAACTAACTTTTTTTTTAAAAAGTCACAAGTTCATTTACAAATTAAACAACACAAGCAACATAGTTCATGAAGTATGAAGCGAATCTCCAGTTGAGCTAGAAAGAAACCACACAAAGCATAACTGATCCAGAAATATAAGCATTTCTCTGAAGGCACCAAAATAGCAAGGAATGGTAGAAAATTAGAGTAGACAACAATAAGCTCCTTCAAAAAAAAAAAAATAATAAGGAAAAGGCATTTCCTCCTATTTTTTAATGGGTAACATTCCTTAAACGAATATTTCTGACAATGCTATACTGAGAAATTAATAATGTGTATTTTTAATTGTTTTTCTTAAAGAGAAAAAGATACAAAGGGGGAAAAGAAGAAGATAGAAGAAGATAACTGTGACTGTTTCTGTTCTTCGACACCCCCGGGGATAGAAAGTTATCTATGAAACTCATTTAAAGACACTTGGAAAATATTGTACAGCGAAGGTCCAAGGAAAAATTCCATGTAGCTAAGAGCTTAAAATAATAGACATGCTTAAAATAAGAGCCAAGGAGAAAGCTCCTTAGCCAGACTTGTAAGTCAGCCAACAAAAGTGCCACACAAATAATATTAAGAGAGCTTTCCCTAGTTTGTTGCTATCCACATTTTACCTCATATTAGAAAGGATACAAAATCTTAAAATCAAGCATAAATTTTTTTTTCTTTCAAGTATTAATAATTCCAAAAAAATTCTTAACATTATAAATTGGGAAATATAAACCGAGTTCCTATCAAATCATGGTTTGGCAACCTCAAGTTTCATGACAAAAGTTGCTTCACACTCAAATACAAAGATTTCTGGTGTACTACTCTTTTCTTCATATGCAAATTCGGTCTTTGTATCTAAATATTAAAGTGTTGCTGTGTACACACAAACATAAAAAAATATTGCAGAATATCTTAGCTTCTGTGCTTAATTTCTAGCATCGTATCCAAAATTTAGTTACTTCATTTTGTAATGGCGAGGGTTTTGTAGGCATAGGGAGAAAGTTAAAATCTGCCAATAATAAACATTTTAGAAATCAGAAAGAATGCTAACTTTTCTATTACAGTTAGTAAAATTTAGTAAAATGTCTATTTACAAATAAACCTATGAAAAAACTGTTGTAGGGTGGGGACAGTGATGTACTATACATTGCATCAACATGAAGTCATAATTAAAGCAATATTTAATGTCACATGCGGTAAAAGAAATAAAATACCCTCCAGATATGGTTAAAGACCTGAAACAAAGATACTACACGATGTCTTGCTTGTAGAATGGCGACGGGATGACTAAAGTAACACAATTATATTAGTACAAAAACAATAAATACGATCGAATCATTTTACTGAGCTGGCATCTTAATATTGCACAAACACATTAAACAATGCTTGTATTTTTTCACATACCCAGTCTCTCCTTGTGCCGTTGTTTGAGGATTGATAGTTAAAATAGACCAAGAAAATAGTTAAAACAGATAGCATGAATATGTGCAGCTATCCATTTAGGATCATAAAGTTTTTGCTAACATAACAGAAAGGATAAGAGGAGATAGTACGTATTTCTTCTTGAAACATAAAAAAGTAAACAAAGATTTCCATTTTTGTTCTACTAAGCTTCAAAATTTACGTTAGCAACTGTTAGTCGGAGTGTCCGTATGAATTACTAAAGAACTTGGTTCTTGCCGCGTTCCTTAAACGTGAAGTAAACAAGCAGTAAAATAAACACAACGATTTTTACATGAAAAATCACCCGGCTCAAAAGGTGCAAAAACCACGACCCACTACGCAGGTTTTTTAACTTCAACTCCGCTAGAACAATGAGCCAAAAATGTATCTATTACAAGACTGTAATTCAATACTCTCCAATACTCCTACTACGACTATTTGATTTACAAGTTACTCTAACTTGTAAAACAAACACTCACTCCAACTCACTAATTATTTATGACACTTGATTACAACTCAATTTCCTAAAACACATTCACTAGACTGACTCAAGAAGAATACAACGCAAGTACTCGACTGGAGTAAACGACTTATGACTCTTCAGTTGATGTGTAAAAAGGATAATACAGAAGTCCAAAGTAGATCATATTTAAATGCTTCAACTTGATATCTTCTAGGAGTCTTATTCATAGTTATCTTCTTCTTCGATAAGACTCCTACTGTTTCGAGGATTCCACAAGTTTTGGGACTTTTGTCTCTAACTGAATCATTCATATCTTCTTGAGAAATGACCCTTATCACATATAGCAGCCTTCTTCCACCAAACTCGAACCTGGTAACTTTGAGAAAAAATTATGGTCTTTTACAGACGTACAATTATCAACATGAGGAGCTGGTTCTTTAGAACAATTAAGTAGCTACGTTGAGGACCTGGTTCTTTGAACATTTAGACATACTTTGTTAATCATCAAAACTTTAATACTTCACAAATTCCCTTTTTTGATGATGACAAACTTTGTACATAGCAGAACCAGGTAATCACACCAAAGAACCAGATAATCACAACAAGTACAATTGACAGACATGTATGTTCACAGCCCACAACCTTCCAACCTTATCTTCCCTTTTTCGGCATCATCGGAAAAACAAAAGAAAAAGTTAGGCAGATGAAGCACAGATAATGTAAGATTCAAGGCCAAACAGGCTACACCACAAGCTTAAGAAATATCAAGGCAAACAGACTATGCTGAAGATCCAATATTGTACAAAGTAGTAAAGCTGAACAAGAGGAGACATTAAGTAGTGCCAAAAGAAGTTCATGGCCTCGTCTTAACCATTCGAAAAAAATAAACTAAGCATACTGCAAACTACCAGACTAAGAAAAAAAGATAAGGCATCACTGGAATAGCAAAGGAAACTATGGACACTGGGAAGGAACATGTTCATGGGTGAGAATTAGAGGGAGTCAGTGTTTTCACAAGGGTGGTAATCAGTTGGCATGAGCTTCCATATATCTTCTGAGCTCTTCCCTAGGTTGCCGTGTTTCCTTTCTCAGCTCATCAATGTCTTCACGAAGCTTGGCATTCTCTTCAACATCCAACTCCAACCTCTTACTGAGCCTACATCCCTACTGCTCCCAGATAGAATAACAGATCATGTGGAACCTCTAGCCTTGATCTCCTCATACCCACACTGCTTGAGGGTAACAACACCCAAAATGTCATTGTGGTTTCCATACTTAAGCTCGGGTAAGGAAATGTTGAGCTGTCAAGTCATGGACTGGTTTCTTCAGCCCTTTTTCTATGTGTTGGTGTTCTATATGACCGACATAAGACTCGACTTGTTAGATATTACGGAGGTTCAGTGAGCACCATGCCGAATCTCTCTACCATTTTCTTCTCTTCCACTTTGGCCAATATTGTCAAACAACTTAGTCAACATGAAACTATAAGGCATAGCATCCTTAGGTTCGGAGGTGTCTGCAGCTCTTGCCATATGCTGAATCATCAAGCTAGGGAGATTGATAGGTCTACCAGTGTCAAGTAGTTCCATTACAACCATGTCCAACAGAGTAGCTTCATGCCTCTCTCAGACCTCTGAAGAATGCAGGAATTGACAAAATGAAACAACAACTTGTGGAAGGGAGTCATATCAGTCTTGTACACCTTCTAGGAGCATCCAACTCAAACTTTTAAGAGAACTTCCTTGTGACCACAATGCCAGTGTCAACATCATTGTCTATGGTTGGCCACTTTTTCTTCAAGTAATTGTCAAATCCCACAGAAGAGATATTTACTCTTGACTACCTTCCTTTCAAAGTTGAAATTTGCATAGAACTCCACCACAGCAGGAACACATACAAGAGAGAAAGCTTTGACAAACATGTTCTTCCACCCCTGTAGCTCAAGTTTTTCAACCAGTTGAGCCATTTCCTTCTCATCAGTGTTTGCAAGAATCTTCCCATTTAGACTTTTCTGTTCTTGAACTCTGTGAGTCGATTAGCTGCAGCTAGCACATTCTTTCTTATCTTACCCTTACTGGCCCTTGCAGAAGGGGTAGTAGTTTTTGTAACTTTGACAACCTTTCTCTTTAGTGTAGAGAACTTAGCTGGCAATGCTAATTCAAACTCATCTTCTCCGTCCATCTCAATAACAGGTTCCACAATTGAGACCTTCTTCCCTGGCTTCTTTACACTTATAGACTCCTTAATGACTTGTTCATCAACAGTCTTTCTTTTAATCCTCGTTAGAGGAGTCCTGGCAGGAGGGGCCACTCCTTTCCTTGTTGGGATTACTAATGTTGTAGTTGTCATAGGATTCTTCCTAGGTTTCTTCCCTACCTCAGATAGTGTCACATCATCTTCATCACTGCCAACTTCTTCATCTCCAGTGAAATGAGTTAACAGAGACCCAGGTTCTTGAGCCCTTGTCTCTTCACCAATTTCTTCTGAAGGTGCTATGACAGTGTTCTCAATGGTCATAGAGCCTTCAGATTCCTCACTCACATTCTCATCTTCTTCCTCACTCTCTTCATCAGCTCATTCACTCTCATTCACCTTTTCTTGATCCTCACCCTCACTTTCGGAGTTGTCCTCTTCTTCCCTATGATTTTCTTCTTCTGCTGAATCATTTACTTGTTCACCTGCCTTATCATCTGTATCACTCTCCTTCTCATCTCCAGATGTTCCCTCATTCTCACTCTTTTCTTCTTCATTGGCTATGTTTTGAGCATCATGCTTCTTATGACTGTTCACATGTTCTTCTTCTTTTTCAACCCTATCATCATCCTCATCCTTAGTCCAACTAAAAGAAAGACCATCAGAACCCTCTTTTTGCACAGGTTCTTTACTTCCTTCTCCCTCAACCACATGCTCCTCAGCAGTAGTATCTACCTCCTTCCCCAGATCACCTACATCCTTTTCTATAATGAATTTCTTCACTTGTTGTTTCTCACCCATGGGTGGGAGAGTATCTAGGGGTGCAACATCTAGAGTGGATACCAAAGCATCTAATTTTGAAGGAGGATGTTGTACCTGATTAGTAATGACTGGCACTTATTCCCCATGAACCACAAATTCCTTGACTACTGTATCTATATGTGTAGCAACATCAGGCACTTTCTTGACAAATATTCTTGGAGTGGCCTTGACCTTTGATGACTGAGAGGTAGGCTCAGGTGCATGGGTGGTTGGTTTTGGAAGTGAGGGTATAGTGGAGGCGGGGATGGTAAGTGCAACAGGAACATGGATGATAATGCAGTTACAGTAGAGGACACCGACGGAGCAGGTGTGGGTGTGGGTTCACTTAATGGCTTGTCACTTTTCTTTGATTTGGGCTTCATGATTATAGATTTTGCTTCATCCTTGGTTGATGATTCAGATAAGACTCGAAGAAAAGAAAGAGAGAATTATTTATTGATATTTGCTCTTGATTCTTGCTTGGGGTTTGAGAGAAACAGTGAAGTCTGAGAAGCTGATAAGAAGGGCTTAGAGCAGAAAAGTTACGTCCATGTTCTCCACCCTTAATCTTGCTAATTTCCACCAAAGAACTCAAGCATGAATATAAAAGATGGGTACATACCAAAACTTTTGCATTCAGTTTAAGAGTACCAATATGTTAATTATCCAAGCGTCCCTTACTATTACAACTTTTGATGTTTCTCTTAAAAAAAAATAGCAAAATATACACATAATTTCCTAGCTATTAAGAAAGTGTCATGGTTTTAGTACTTTCTTCTTCTCTACTAAATCCCAAAACTTCAATTTCTATAGTAGAAAAGGATTTAATTTCTGCACAGTAGATTGAATAAGGAGACATGGAAAAGCTGTATATGGTTTCTGGTGGAGATGATTTAATGGAGTTTTATAAAAGGGAAATTGGATTTTCTCAGCCTAGAAATTTCTCTCGTTGAATCTCTGCTTCTGAGGCCATGGTCAAGAGGCTGGATTTATATGGCAAGTTAACCGGTCATGAAGGACAATAGATTTCAATGCCACCGGGATGTTCTTGTCTCAGGTTCTGATGATAGAAGGGTAATACTATGGGACTGTGCAACAAGAACCTCAAAGTTATCTTATCCATCAGGTCACGTGGATAATATTTTCCAGGCAAAGTTCATGCCCTTCACCGATGATCGTAAAATAGTAACTGTATCCGCTGATGCTCAGGTATGTTAGGGTTATTCCTTCTTTCTTTTGGCATGATCCATACGATACAAACGAAACGAGCAAATGCACAATTTCCATAAATGACTCTATTCATAGAAATACTAGAGATGTTTATGTTCTTGATTCCCCATGTGTCATATTATTCTATCATCTGTTCATGGGTCTACGAAAATACGTAAGTTGATAAAGTTTGTTTCATAATATTAATCAGAGGAAAATGGTCTTATGTCATTCCGAGAGATTTTATTAACGTATGGGCAAGCAGGCCGAATGTCAATTAGGGCGAGGAGGCCGAATCACATTGGGGCGAGGAGGCCGAATGTTAATTCGGGTGAGGAGACCGAATCACATTGGGGCGGGGAGGCCGAATCACATTGGGTCGAGGAGGCCGCGGGGAGGCCGAATGTCGATTCGGGCGAGGAGGTCGAGTGTCGATTCGGGCGAGGAGGCCGAGTGTCGATTCGGGCGAGGAGGCCGAGTGTCGATTCGGGCGGGGCAGAGTGTCGATTCGGGCGGGTGTTGATTCGGGCGAGGGCGAATGTTGATTCGGGTGAGGTGCCGAATGTTGATTCGGGCGAGGTCGAATGTTGATTCGGACGAGGCCGAATGTTGATTCGGATGAGGCCGAGTGTAACTTGTGTAATTGATGCAGCGTTGCTTTTATCCCACTTAGAAAAATAGTTAGTTAAACCAAATGAAATTGTTCATTACCTCGATTTGATCGATCGGCGAGTGGGGAGGAGTGACCACATTCCCTTCTCTGGTTATGCTTTTAGTGGCCGCTACCAGTTTGGCAAGGCCGTCCGTTTTGATATTCCATGCTTGACCGCTGATGGCACGGTTGCACTTTTTAGACCACAAGTTAAGCAAGACTAAAAGAAAATAGATGGAGACCATGGAGTAGCACACCAATCCAATCTTGGTAATCATGCCAAACAAGCTAACAACTTTCAATATCATGCGGTTCTAATCTACACGGTGAAAAGAAGATAGGTATTTTGTTAACTTATAAAGTAGAAACGAATATGAGATGATAATTTTCTTTTTTTTGTAAATAACAGTTATGATGTTTCTTTAAATAGCACCAATTTGTTGAATCAGTTTATTCCCATTTAGTCCGATCGAATTCTGTAAGATAATGGACATACAGAGCCCTGGCGATTAAAGGCAGACGGTGATGCCAATGAACAGGAAGTGAACAGAAAGTGAAACTAGAATTGAATTTTTAGATCTAGAGGAAACTAAAATTTTAACTAGAAAATCCCCACAGACGACGCCAAATTGTTTGACCAAAAAAGTATGAGACCTTTTTTGTTAAACTAATTAAATAAGAAATAGAGGGTAAATCCTAGTTAAGGATAATTAATTCTAGATCTGAGATGAATAATATGAATAGAAAGACATAGGTGAGTATAAATGCTGGCAGTGATTATGGCCAGATTTAATAGCATGAAGAAAGATGCATTATATAACATTAAATGGCAATAAAATGTAAATAAAGGAAAAGATTCACCCAATCTTGAGTGAGGCAGATCATCTTTCATTTGATAAAGAAGAATGATACACAAATACAAGAACCTTAGGATCCTTTTTTGGATCTGATAGAGGTGTGGGATCACAGATCCTCTAATCTCTTTAGAGAGATGTGTTTATCTATTTTCGAGAGAGAGAGAGCCCCCTTTTTGGGAAGTCCTCTATTTCTATTTATAAGGGGTATCTCTAGAAAACCCTAAAAAAATACAATTAGCGCAAATATCCAGTAGAATATTCCTTTTGAGGATTCCAAAGAAACTAGCTTTTACATCTATCATCACTGCTCGACCTCGGCCTTATTGATCACTGCCCGACCTCGATGTTATGAATCAACTCCAGTCCAATAAGGATGTCAACACACAAATAGCTATTGGGTTGAGAAGAGCTATTGGGCCGAGAACAAACAATAGGGCCATGCTAATTTGGGATCCGGGTTGAGTAATGAGCCAAGAACAACTCAATTAAAAAGAGCAGCGGTCGGTGATTTTGGGATTATGCGTATTGTTGAAGAACTCTGTTCCCCTCTCGTCTCCCTTCTTCCTCTGGACTATCTCTGCTCTCTCAATCCTTCTTCTCTTAATCTCCTTCTTAGTTCTAGTTTCTGTTATTGTAATGATTGACTCGTTGAGTTTATGAATTAAACATATCATTTCCCTCGTTTACTTTGTCTTGTGAATTGGGGTTCTTAACATTGGTGCTTTCATCGATTCGGACTCCAATGGCAGCAGTGATACTAGATAAATTCAGCAATGGCAACCCAGAGGGCTGGGTTTATCGGGCAGAGAGTTACTTCAATTTCCTTGGTTTTTCGGAGGAAGACCGGTTACCTCTTCCTTATTTCTACCTTGAAGGTGATGCTCTCGCTTGGTTCGATTGGCTATTTCGCAACAAACAATTCTATGATTGGAACCATTACAAGGAGAAATTATTTTTGCGATTACGAAAACAGCCTGTCGCAAATTCAAAGCGGAGTCTAGCTGATTCTTCCATGGCTTATCATAACTACATTAGTTACTCTACTTTGGATTCATCAGAGGTTCAGGTAGCTCCTATAGTTGATTTGCGCCATAATTCCAACTTCTATGAGTTAGAACAAGCATCCGAAGTTGGTAACTCAGAAGCCAAGCCTGTGTTCGATGAAATGTCTCTTGGAATTTTCACCAAAGCAGCCGAGTATGATTCTCTTGACTCGACATCATCAGTTCCTGCTATTGACATTCAGGTTGGTTCGGACTCTATTGAAATTGACCCCATAGACTATACTGATAGTGCCACTACAACTTTATCAAATAAGGAAGACAAAGTGTTTGACCAAATTTCACAAGGAATTGGCACTGTTTTGTGGTACCATTCTGCAGACGATGTTCCCTTTCCAATTTCTTTTGATGACTTACCCTTGCTTCCATCCAATGTTGAACAACTAAATGCGCAGGTCTTGTTCCCTGGGATTGAATCTGCTTTAGAGGAAGACACCACAAGCTATGTGAACCAGGTTTTTGTTAAAAGTCCTAAGCGAGATACCACTGAACAACGCAGTCAATTTGCCACTATGCTTATGGATTCTTTTATTTGTTTGGTCCGAGGTGTTAATCTTCCAATTTATCAAATGCTCGCATTGCCTTTTAGTGTCAATTTGGACGATGGCCATATTCTCGATTCTTCTTATTGCTTTCATGTGAGGGATTGCATATATCTCCACTATGTGCCTGATTCAACAATAGGGACTACCCCATTTTGTAGTTATGGGGACAATTGGTTTGACACAGGGCAAGATTTTAAGGTTGATTCATGTGTGCTTTTATCTATTGAATCTGAAGTTCTTACTCAAGAGGCTTTTCCAAAGACAAAAGTTTTTACCTCTAACATGGCCAATTTGGAAGATAGACACGCCGAATGGAGTTTTCTACTCTTAGGCTTTCATTGTGAACTACATCTAAAAGAAGTTATTAAAAATATATTGTGGTTCCACCATGATTTCAACGTCCATTTAGACTATTGGCGTGATATTGTACATGAGCGCAATCTTTCTGGATTCTTGTTGTTTGAATCGAGAGTGCGTGCTAGGGAGGAGAAGATACAGAGAATGACCCAGGAAATCACTGAAACTTACTCCAAGCAATCACCAAATATTTGGGTCAATAACGTTGTTAAACGCTTGTTTGCTATGTTTGGTCTAGCTCATAAAGCAAGGTCTACTTCGTCGTATATTATCTTTGATCCTGGTGGGGTTAATACTTCCTTTTGTGCGACGAGCGAGC